ACACACACACACACACACACACACACACACACACACACACACACATATATGTGTGTGTGTGTGTATCACACATACACATACAAACACAAATTTTATCAAACATAATTTATAATAATAATTTATAATAATATAATTTATAATATCTTCAGTACTTAAGGATTGAGACATACTGTGTTTTTATGATTGATATTGTGGACTTTCTGTTTTATGAACATAAAAGGAACAGTGAGCTTGTAGTTGCATCGTATTGACCCTCTGTACTGTGTTCCACCATGGTCCATGGGTGGGTGTACAACTATGGGTGGGTGAGAGATCCCCACTTTTCCCAACCTTGGGAAAGCATCTGGATGTAGTCTAAACTCCATATTGTTCAGCAACTTTTGAGTTCTAGAGTAGGAGACTAAGGGCTGTTCCAATTCCAAATTACTGGGAGAGTTAAATGTATCTGGAAGTCATTAAATTGAATAACAGTACAATAACTACAATAATGAGTACAGCAGTACAATAACAGTACAGTAACGAAGGGTTAATCTCATTCTGCAGATTCCATGATTGTTGAACACAGGTCCTTGTGAATTCATTTTGGGGTTTATTTCTCTTTTGATCTTAAAAAGTACCTTAAATCCATATATTTTCTAGTTATAATCTCAAAATCAGGTTATTTTCTTTATCCTTTATCAATAGCCCCATTCATGTTACAGTTTGATACAGGTAGTCTTCAACTTCTGGCTGTAACTGAGCCCAGAATTTTAATTGTAAGTCATGCTGGCTATTAAGTAGATCATCAGGTGACCAACCTGATTTTACTTTTTTTGTGGTAGTTAAGTACATACAAAAAGCAAGCCCATTGCCCAAGCAAGCTGCGCCCCCAAAAGCAGTGGGTGGGGAGTTTTTTTGCTGGAAACTTCCAATGCCAATTTCCAGCAAGAAATTTCCAGCGTGTGGAAGGCTGTAAATGAGGACCGTTTGCCAAGAGCCCAAAATGCGGTCATGTGACCAAGGAGGGAGCAGCCATTGGAACTTTGAATCAAGAATCATTTGGGGGATCCGTTGCAACCTCAAATGATCACTAAGCGGCTACCTATATTTCTCTACATTTCTATATTTTTCTATTTTTAAAAAACATTTTTATTAAGTTGTAGAGTATTATAAAATACAAAAGTAACTAGAAGAGCAGTGAGGGGGAGGGCAAAGGAGGAAGAGAAGTGAGGAAAGATAGGGGAAAAATAAAGAAAACGAAGCATTGATTTCGGTCTCCCTCTGTTACAATAAAATAAATGTTAATTTCTAGTGTTAATAAATAGCAAGGGTTTTTCATGGGAAGATAATAATTCTGAGGCCTGGGGTTGTATAGAGGTATATGGAGTAATTTTTATTGAATTATAATAAAATGGATTACTGGGGGATAATAAAGGAACATGAAGAAATAATTTTGATGCTTAAAAACATACAAGAAACTATAAAGAACAATAAGGAAACAAGGGGATTGCCTAAAGATAAAAGAAATGAGTGTAGAAACCTTTCAACAACTGGGGAAACAAGATGAACAAGACACTCAGAAAATAGATGAGGAATTTGAAGAAGCAATGGGAGAGAAAGATCAAAATGAGATGCAAGAAGACAAAGATAATAAAGAGAAAGGATGGATAAGTAGGAATCAAATAAAAATATCTTCAAAAAAAGAGAAAAGTTTAGAGGGATAAAACAAAAATATCTTCAAAGGATGCAGCAGAAAGAGACAAAGGGCAAACTGAAAGGAATACCCAGTGGGTATAAAAACTTTTTTTTTAAAGTTATAAGATTCCAGAGAGAGAAAGAAAAAGATGATTAAAAAGTTAACAGATGGTGGAAGCGATAAAATATAGTAATAAAATTGAAAAATAGAAAATATAAATAGGGAAAATAGTAGCATATATACTAATAGATAATAGAATTTATTATGTTTTAAAGTAAGCTAAGAGCAGAAGGTGGAAGTCTAGGATTAGGTAATTTAATTGTATTATTAACAGTGTGTTAAAATATATTAAAATTTAAAAATTTAAGAATTAGAAATTTGGGGTGTTGAGATATAAACCTGGAATTGACTAAATTTTGTTAATATTTGGTCTGATCAGCAGTTCTAGATATTTGGGATATTGAAATTATGGTGGAATCATAAGTAATTTTTTAAATATTAAATAGAAGTGACTTAATAGAGGACAATAAATATATGGTGAAAATAAATGTTATTTATGCTTAAATGAATTAATGAAAAAATGAGAAAGAGCTATAAAGACAGAATAATATTGTTGAAATTGGAAGATTAGGATTATATAGATTTATTTGTATTATCATTGTTAGCATTGTTTAAAAAGGACATTGACCCAATCAATGCACTGTCCACAAAATATGTGTGAAAGGAAAACTGTAAATAAAACATGAATTATCAAAAAAAGAAGAAGGGATTGCTTACCCTCATAAGAACTTGGATACCTTGCTCCAAATCTTGGAGTTTTTCATAGACTCTGTCTGAGGTCCCAAACACAAGACTGTTCGTAAACATCCTGCTTAGAAACCGTATAGGATTTAGCCAGGACTGAATGAGAATCAGCGAAAACCTCAGCAGTTCCGTATCCTAGAAAAATAGATACCCTTAAAAAATGCAATTTAAAGACTTCTGTTTTTCTATCCTAACTCCTAGAGCCCGAAGAAGAAGAAGAGCAAGGATAATAGCATTCAGTTGTCTGTTTTAAGATAAATGGCAATAGAAGTACAACAGGCAAGAAAAATTCCAACCAGGGCAAACTGCCTATTTCCTGATCAGTTCCTTAAGCCTGCTTTAAACCTATTTTTTTACTAACCCACAGTGACACACTTTTCATTATTGGAAGGGACATGTATGGACAGTAATTGATAAAAATGCTTCCTGGTTTGCTTTTAAATGTTTATCGAATATATCTCTTTTGCTCCAATGAAAACATGACATGTAAAACTAATCCATTTCTGGCTCCCAGAGAACCTCCTCAGCCTGGGAAGATGTTTTTGGCCTCCTGGAGAGTTAAGAAAAGCCACAGGAGCCCGAGAAGGGCAAAAATGCAACCCCCCCATTACAATGCAGGAGGCCAATTAGGCGAGGTGTGGAATTCTACCAGTTTGCACCTATTCGCTAGAACAGGTTGTTAACATTCTAAGCAGTTCAGAGAACCGGTTGTTAGAAGAAATCACTGGCCTAATCCTGTAAGGAAGACAGGAAGGAAACATTCTGGTGTTGCTTACAGAAACTGCCTCTCGGTTAACTCTTATTACATTCTTGGAAGGACTAGACTTCCTGTCTCAGGAAGGTCTCTGGAGTTTTTTTCCTCTCCTTTGCTGGTACTTTGTTTGTGTGGAGTGACCATTTAAAGTTACAATGGCACTGAAAAAAGTGACATGACCATTTTTCACACTTACGACTGTTGCAACATCCCCACAGTCATGAGAGGCCAGGCGAGATGTGTGCCTCGATGTGAGTGATATTGAGTTAGTCACACCCAGCCAATAACGTGACCACCAAGCCACGTCCACCCAGTCACATGACCACCAAGCCACACCCACCACCAAAACCATGCTCACAGAACTAGTTGTTAAAATTTTTGAATCCCACCCCTGAATTAGGCCCCACCCACCACCCAGCAACTGGGCAGAGAACCCTTTTCTAAAATGTTTGAAGCCCACCCCTCGTTGGTCCCATCACTCCATTGTAATGCTACATATAATACTGCTGGGTAAGCAGCTTTGGCATCATCATGCAATTGTGATAGACCACTGCCAAGCAGTGCTGTATCAAATTCTTTAAGGGGGAACAAAAGCAGCAGAGGAATTGGATTGGACTAGAAAGAAGCTCATGCCTGCATCATCTAGGACCAGTCAATAAGCGTTTTTTCAATCTCACCTACTGTTGATCACCTGACTTTACCTCTGTAAATGGGTGGTGAAACATAACAGATGTTAAACATCTTATAGCTATTCCATGTTTTTGGGTTAAACAGGAACCACAAATGCCAAAATAGCTAAGGGTAGACATGCTATATCTGGGTATTTCTGTTCAGAATCTCTATCTCAGAGAGATGTGGAAAACTAACTTGTGCAGCCTGGGAAGTATGCCTAGATAAAAGACAGCTTAGGCATGGATTGTGGTCAAGATAAAGATAATATCATAGGGAAACATCAGAGGAAAAAATACAGTATATTGCCAGGGCATATTTGTACCATGGTTAAATGCAAAAGATTAACAGTCTACCTGAATCTTGGCCAAAGCTATTTGAAATTTGCAAATGTGATAAAGTATAGAGTTTCTAATGTTCTGTCCTCTAGGGATTAGATCCCCCAACATAGAAACAAGGACCTGGCAGCACTTCAGATGGTTGAGTATGGTTTCTAGTCCCCTTCACTTTTACCAGGGTGTCTGACTAACTAGCTGTCTGACTCTCCTCTGATGTTTAGAATACATTTATTGCTCTTTGTTAATACTTCTTGGGAATTTTGTAAAAGTGGGAAGAGAGGCAACACAAGTTATATATTTGGGGCACCACAATAATTCTTCCATGGAATAAAAAATGATAGGAGTTGGCTTACTGTTTTTTGTTGGGTTTCCTCTTTCCTCGTGGGTGAAGGGATAGTGTCTGAGTAACAATATACAGTCTGAGAATTCTTGATGGAGTATCGCTGTTCTTCTGGGATATAGGATCGCTCCTTTATAAGTCCCATAAAATGCCACCATTTACAAAGAAGTAGAAAAGGTGAGAGTGTGCCGAGTTTTGAATAACATTATCTAAAAATTACTAATTGAGCAAAGACATTAAGATCAGAAGCAATGCAATACTAATATTAGCTAAGAGAATAAGCAAATAGTAAATATTTCAAAAGAGAGCCTTATCTAAAGATTGTTTGGTTTGTGGCAACTCTAAGTTGATCCAGTAATGGAAGATTTGAGAACATATAAAACATGTGGCGGGGGGAGCACTTTCCCATATCATTTTAAAAAATAAATTGCTACATGTCATATTCTTTTTTTACGCTTTAATATATCCCGTGACCCTAGAGAATTCCCCATGTTACTTTTAAACGAACCTATTCTGCTTCCAAGCTGCTGAACACTCTAGCAGGAATGATGATGCAACCTAAAAGTTTAGCTGACCTAAAACATGGACCACTACTCACAAATTCCTTGTAGGTATTCGTTGCAAGCTGATGGAGATGCTGTGCTCTTAGCACAGCATTGGTAAACAGACTGGAGAGTGGTATTGTGGGGAAGGCTCCTCCGTCTGTCCATTGCAGAGCCAAGATAAACAAGCCAACGGTAAGCAAAGAGGAAGGACTACTGGTCCCTGCGGAGGAAGATGAAGAAGGTTGGCTTCTTAAATAAAAGATGACATATTGGTAGATCTTCCACTTTAATGCATAATGAAGCACTAACTGCAAGTTCTTTTCATGACTGCAAACGTAACACACGCAAAAGATGCACATGCACAAAGGTTCCATCTCTGCTGATGCTTCAGCTGAGCAGAGCACCAGTTGAGTTTCTGGGTGGCAGAAGCAAATAGGAACCCATGTAAAACAGAAACACTGCCATACACAATCATGCAGGATGCCTTATTTGAGCATGCACTCCCTCTTCTTCTTCAAACCGGCCATCACAAGGCTTCTAGATGAGTTAATAAATAGGAAACTTTACAAGTTGCTGTTGCAGCAGTTTCACACATACATACAGTTCTTGTTTTCTCCATTTTTTAGTTGAGCATTTTTTCAGATACCTGTTTGCGTCGAGTATACCATAATTAGTAGCATTCTCTCTTTGTTTTTTGTTTCTCCCATGGGAGAATTGGGTCTCACTGTTGCTTCTGTTTTATACTCACCAGTATAAAAATTTAAAATTTCAATAAAGAAAATAAAAATCATACCCCCTTCTATCTCCCAAATTTAATAATAACCATGACTTCTTTCTATATTTTGCTTAATGGATATATATTGTATGGAAAATTAGTACACAAGCTTTTTTTCTGTATAAAGGCTGGATCCACTGAATGGATGTCTTTTTGCTATTTCCAGCTCTCCCATCCGTTAAAAAGTAATAACTTCCCTATTGATATTCAGAAGCTTACCTGAAGCCATGTTGTATTAGCAGATCACACAGGTGTTCTCCACTTTTCTTGTTGAAGCTGCCCCTGCCATTCTGAGCTGTTTTTATACACAAATATAATAATACATATATACACAATCATTGTTTATTCATCTCTGCAAGCTCATCAACGTGCACAGATGCATATATGGAGGGATAAGCCATGTGAATGGGTAAAACAGGAATGCTGAAACCTGGATTGTAGCACTCGGAGGGATCTGAAGGGGAAATTGTGTCAGCTGTGGCCCTTGGGTCTTTATGGCAGCACCATCAAAGGATTGCAATCATGGATGGCTTCTTAATAATCAATTAAAACTATCACAATATATAATATGTCATATTTGAGCAATAAAATAATCTGGCAACCTAAATCCTCCCCTCAAAAGGTGCCAATTAGAAATATTTGATGTTGAAATTAAGCCCAAGAGTGCAGCTGTCATATTCTATGGAAAAAAAGAATTTTAGAGGTATCATAGCAGCAGAGGTCATGTCTCTTGCTTTCAACCATGTGATTTCACTTGCTGAGCTAGGAACACAGTCTCAGGAGCTAATCCTCATGAAGTCCTTCCCAAAACTGTTTTTTTTTGTTTGGGGGTGGTGTTGATGGATCCTTTGAATTGAATTGTGTTCAGAAACTAACAGCAACTGCAGCAAGAATTGGCATGATAATTTTTGTAGAACCATCCCAGCAAAGGCCTGCATTAGAATTTGATTCTGTCTGACTCTCCTCCGATATTTAGAATACACTTACTGCTCTTTGTTGAACATTTCTTGGTTCTCTTCAGTCCCGGCCCAAGACATTTCATAACTAAAGCAGATTTCAAAACTGCAAAAAAGAACAGATGACACAATTAGGCACCAATTTCACCCTCAACTGTCTCCTTGTCATATTACTGCCTCAAGCAGATTGCTTTTAAGAAGGAGGCTTTTAAGAAGAGACTGGACAGCTACTTGTTTGAAGTGGTGTAGGATCTCCAGCTCGAGAATGGACTAGAACAGGGGTTGGACTAGAACAGGGGTCATCAACCTTTTGGACCTCAGGGACCACCAAACACATAATTCTAAATCCCACGGACCACTAATATGAATTTTGAGTGACGGTGGCTTGCTGATGTAAGTCGGTCTCATATTCCAGAGCTGCAGTAGTCACAGGACTGGCCCTTTGGTCATCCTGGAGTAGCTGCTCCTCCACCCAAGTGCACCGGCCTGCCATGGACTGGAGGAGCTGCTTCAGGATGACCAAAGGACCAGTCTTGTGACTACTGCAGCTCTGGAATATGGGACCGATTTTCCCACCAACATCAGCAAGACACCCAGCGGCAGATTTCCCTTCCCCACCATTGGTCTTACCTTCTAGTTCCAACTCGTGTGGCTCTACTCAAGGTATGGTTTGCTCTTGGTCAAAAGGTGGGGGCCAGTGGGTGGACAGGCCATGTGGGCAGAGCAGCCTTTTGTTCCTGTGTATCCTGGATTAATTGCTTTGGAGGGATATTTCTCAGTGGACCACCAAACTTTTCTCACAGACCATCAGTGGCCCACTGGCTGGCGACCACTGGACTAGAAGACTTCCAAGGTCCCTTCCAACTCTATTAGTCTATGTTCTATGCTTTACACTGTTAATGTGTCTGCTTTTCTGCTGAACACATTTTTCTCAGCCAAATGTGTTTGTTTAATACTGTATGTGGGGGAAGTATAGATTTATTGGTTCAATTATTCGCCCACCATTCGTTCAGGAGGTCTAGGTGGAAGAAATAGCTCCCTCTACTGTTTTTCCCATATGCAAACCCTTTTCTACCCAGCAGTCTCCCTGCCTGAATTTATGGAGATGCTCTTGGACATTCAAGCAGTGCGATGGAGCCTTAGGCTGCTGGTCTGGAGTGAGAGTGACATATCAGCAAAAGCTCCACAGCTAAACCTTGGCATTTCCATTTCAGAGGATCAACTTTCACTTCCTTCAATAACATGAAATGCTTAGATTGCTAGAAACATGTGGCCGCTGGCCAAGCAGGCCTTTTGTGCGGCTTGCTGACTGGAGAGCCACACCCACTTCCCAAATCCTACTTTAAGAATGAGTAACTATTTCTGCCTCGGGATGCTATGCTTTACCTTTATCTTCTACCTGGAACCCCAGGAATCATGGCACCATTGGACTGATTGTAGCTAGCAGGTCAGGTTTCTTTGAGGGCACTTAAAGGATGACACACGGACCTTCTTCCAAACTGGTAAAAGTAAACTTGTTTTGTGTTGATTGTGGTTGTGGTTATGAAATTGTTAATTAAAAATGCAGAATGGGTGGCATGCCTGTTGGCTTTCTACCTCCCTCTCACAAATCTTTAAAAGGTCTACCAATTTTGGTTTGCCACCTTTGGGAAGGGATTTGGACTGGGAAAATGGTTCTTGAAATTGGGGGGAGGGGCACAAATTTCCCGACTCTGATGTAGCTAATCAACCAGGATGCTGGGGAAGAGACAAGCAGCAACACCAGGACTGGTGTTTTCATAAAGAGTCAGGTTGGGGAACTTTAATTTTGTACCCCCAGTACTTTGGGGTACATTGTAGTTTGGATACTGTATAATTTTATTCTTTTATGCTGCCTTCTATATGTTTTCTAGCTCCTCCCAGTTGCCTACATGGCCTTCATCAAGAAGACACTTTAAAAGTCAGGTGAACACTGACAGAGTTCCACATCCTGAGGATTTGAACATGCATCACAGGAAAAAATGTACTTTCAAAATGTTTGTGCAGTGGAAAGAACAAGTATGCATATATTCTGTGTTCTGGTTTATGTTAAGTGGATGAAAAGGCCACATTTCTTATTGTGCTGCTTTTTTATACTAATTTCAATGAATGCTAAAACTAAAGGCTTGTTAGCTTCACACCCTGTGTAAAAACATTTTAAAAAGAATAATTGTGCAATGTAAAGGCATTATTTAAAGATTTAAAACACTTTGCAAAATGTTCTTTAAAGCAGGTATATCAGAAAAGCGAAAATTTCATGAAAATTATTTCTTCACAATATTTTTATGCCGCCTA